GTACGAGATTGCCCACCACAAAGCCGGGGGTGGTTACTTCATGGAGAATAGACTTCGACAAGCCATTAGTAGTTATATCCTTAGTGTCTTGTGTCCACCAACGATGGGCAGAGGAACTTGGTTGTACATGTCGGAATAATCTGCGAAGTACCGAGTATCCTCACACACAAACACCTCCAGGAGATCGCTCCCAGCAAACTGCAAGGGTCTCGACAGAGTAGTGGCAGTCAGTGGCGGACTCTGTACCATCACAGGGCTGGCGCTTGCAAAGACCATGACACCATGACAACATGAGTGGAGGAGGGGTTCCAAAATGGTCCTAAAGAGCGGACCGGGCGCCCAGGCCGAGGTGAGGGTCCAATCTTCTCAAGAGGCTTGGTTCGGCGTGGCCGACGATGATGATGATTATCATTTTCTGAGCGGCTTGGGCGGTTGCTTAGATCGCTGGATTCGGAGATGCTTGGATTTGGGCTCGGGCAACTAAACGCACCGCAGTCGATTTTTAATCACATCACAGGCGTTAATTCTAATCCAATTAAGTACCTTTACATATAATTCTCATAATAAAAATACATGTGAATACACGTGAATTTTCTTATAATTATATAAGATTAAATTAAAAATACTTTTGATTCAAAGTTTACTTGTAGTATTAATTAATCAAGATACTCTTATACGACTAAATATAGTAAAGCGTGGCTGCCAAGTCCAACGCAACTTCATCTTCCAAGGAACGGGGGAATGTCTCAAATGCAACGACCTCTTCCGCGGCAGCTAATCCAATTAAGTACCTTTACATATAATTCTCATAATAAAAATACATGTGAATACACGTGAATTTTCTTATAATTATATAAGATTAAATTAAAAATACTTTTGATTCAAAGTTTACTTGTAGTATTAATTAATCAAGATACTCTTATACGACTAAATATAGTAAAGCGTGGCTGCCAAGTCCAACGCAACTTCATCTTCCAAGGAACGGGGGAATGTCTCAAATGCACGTAGATATCCTCTATCTAGCTCGTTTTTTTTGATTTTTTTTTTTAAATAAGTTAATAAGTCATATTAAAATTATATAAGTGGAGCGTCCGGCCTAATTAGGACTAACGCCTGCGGTGTGTTTAGTTGCCCTTTAGGCTCGTAACAGCGGAACGGAAAGAAAGAAAGGGGTAAAGACATTATTCGAGCCCGATGAGCAAAGATCTGGTCAAACGCGGAGTTTGGGCGCCTGGAAGCCTGTTGAAGCCAACTTTGCCAGATTGAGGTGAAATTAATTGGATGGTCTTTCTTTTCTCTTTGGGTACGGAGTAAGGAGCACGGGTCCCACTTGGACACAGGGCACCTGGCAAATCGCAAGATGGGAAGGAACGATCCCATTGTCAGTAGCAAGCTACGCCTCATCGGGCCAGGCGATGGACAGTGTACTAGCGCGGCATCGAGAGACAGCACTTGAGAGTTGGCCTCCTTTTTTTTTCTCGTCGGCCAACACGCTAACAATTGTACAGTATTTCACGTCATCCGCCATCATGTCGTCTGGTGTCATCTGGTCTCGTCACCATTGCCCCATACGGCAATTTCCGTACTGCCCCAACAATGAGTGTTTCTATCCGCCGAAATATCCTGTACACATCGCTAGTTCACCAGGGTTCAACGTAGTTGTCTCCTCATTGTTTTGTTGGGTGCAAAAGTAATGCCCAAACTGTCGGGGCATGGCATAATATCCTGTCATCCCGCTCCAAAGTGCGGCAGGATCACTCAGCTGACATGCAATATCTGATATAATCTATGCAGTGTTAATTCGAAGTCCTAGACATGCCTGCATGGGCTTATGCAGATTCAGGCTTAAGCGAGCTGATCGCATCTGAGATGCTTATGTGTGGAAGACGCAGCCCTAGTTATCTACTCAATGAGAGTTGATTTGAGCGCGACGATGCATAAATGGTTTGCAGGCAATGGAATAGACATGTCAAACGAAACAAGGAAGAACAACTCTGGTCGTTGAGCTGGTAGGCATTCTCGCGCTACAATACGCAAACATCACTAACGTGATACCCTCACGACCCTCACGACCAGTACGCGTTCCCCACGCTGGTGGACTGCTAAACTTGGCCAATTTAGTTTCAATCCCTGCTGGCCCACGTGTCCTGGCGATCCCAGCAAGCCACTACGTAGCACTTGGCCATGCAAATCACTTTAAGTGGTGCAGGAGGCCAGGGGTTGCCAGCGTGCCCGTCTTCATGAGGCAGCTGGGAGTAACAGCTTGCCTTGAAAGCCCCAAGAGGTCGGTTGGTTCAAGGGCTTGAAGAGAGGGCGCCCGTTTGCGCCCTGCGAGAGGAGCCGACAGTATTAGACCTGCAACTGTCACTATTGTTACTCGACATGACTGGTCCGGAGACGCCCTAATTTTATTGTTTTTCTGGGTCACTTAAATGAGGGGTCTACTACTCTGTACCCTGGAGGTCCCCTTCATAATATCCTCTTGCATGTAGCTGGGAGACGATGACTGTGTTATGTTTCTTGAACCCGGTTCTGTACTATGGCCCACGAATATGGATAGCCACACCTGTTCACCCAATCCAGCAAGCGCGTTGGGTAACAAGGGGGATCTATTTGACTGCTCATATTATCAAAACATATGCCGGAATAGAAAGCGCCGGGTGATGGGTAAATATCTTGGTACTCGGTACAGCCATTTATCCAGCAGCAGCACCACCACCACCACAATCACAGTCATAAGCTTAGTAGTCCTGCGCAGGAAGACTTCAGGGAACAGCAACTTCTACGGCCAATCCAGTTCAACATACCAGCAGGAGGAGCAAAATATCAAAATATATATCAAGATCAAAGCGGGCCCTTAGCAAAGAGAAACTCTGTGCCAGTTAAGGCTTTCCGACAACCGTCAACTGCCGAGTTTCAGCGGCGCTAGTTGCTTTGTTTTGCGGGAGTCCTGACCTGTCAACAAACTGTGTCATCTACGTCAATTCACCATCAGCTATCCTGAAACTGAGTACATGTACCTATACGCCTGTGGAACCGCAGGATTCACTTCCTAAGATGACTTGTACGTTAGTAGCCAGACAAGTGTATCTCTGTCTGAAGGTTGACGATACAGTTGCGTTGGGAATAACAACGGCAGTACAGGAGTACACCCCAGCCGTCGGGTCTGAACGGCGAGACTATCTGTCGAGCCGATCCGCGGTGCTCATCTTGCGCCATCAAATCGATTGTGCTTTACCAAGCTGTTGATCACCGTCGCAAAGACAACCGCGCAAATGGCCGCTCGTCCTTGAGATCCGATCGCGCATCCACTTTCTGGTGGCTGTCATGGTCAGGCTGTTTGCCAAGTTTGACCGATACAGGTCAGAACGTACCTAAGTGCTAGGTAGTTAATCACTACCAGGGTAATCAGTGATGTACAGACTTGTATGTTGTTGTCATGAAACTTTCTGAAATGAAGCTACTTAGTGTGATAACTACCTAGATAAGTACTCCGTAGGCAGCGTATTCCAGCTGCATTGCCATTGCTCCCCTGACATCTGAACTTGAGCGCACGGAATGTAGCTTGGCTCATTACGATACTACAGGTTAAATTATAGGTCGTATTAAGGACGTTTATAGGGCACATTTCGCACGTGGTGTTGTCCTTCTGGAGCAACATCATTGACCATCCCCTACTCTCTCAGAGCTAACATGGCGAGGTTACGGACCAACCTCTCGATGCAATTAGTCGCATTACATTCCAGGTACGTGGTCAATAGCCATCGTTAGCGGCCAGGGCGGCGGCTGATTCAGAGTAATTTGATATTTTATTTCAGAAACCGGGTTGATGAGCCTCAGCGTGGCAAGTCGTTTTCAACTCTGGCTGATAACAGTTAGCATGAGCGAAGCCAGAAGAACCCTGATATTCTGGTCTTACGATGCTCCATCCCCAGATGACTTGGTCGGTGAATGATCTTTGTCCACAAATCCGAACAACTGAGTTGTATTACCCCAAAATTTGCAAGGGCTAAAACATCAGTTGCTTTGGGGACATGTTCTAACCAACAAGGGCCTGCCCAGTCGAGAAGTCGAGGGATGCAACCGATCTGCAAGCCATGGAGAAACGTACCAGCCGCAGTTCGGATCCTTGGATAAACAGAGACCAAGCACTCAAATTGCGGACCTTGCGGTGGTTGGCAGCCACTGCTTTGCGATCGAGGGCAATATTGGCCAAAGGACGTGCGACTCGATTCGGATGCAGAGAGCAGACATTTCGCTGTGACCCATGGGCAACCTGATAGCTAGACGAGATGGAGCACACAAACGCTTTATTGTGCAGCTTCACAAATGCAAGCCCATCTGCAAACAGCGACATGCCTCTACCGGTCATTATATGAGACTGCTCTTTCGAGTCAGCTTTTGTACAATACGCCCAATTCAGACAAGATGGCGTCAAGAGGCCCGATTTGGTGGCCAAGAGTTGATGTTGGTTGAATGTGAGGCAGGTGAAAGGTGCCTCTCATATGAATAGTCGCATCAGTTGTACTACACGCCTCGCGGTTCCCCTTTATGCATGTACAAATATTATTCACTGGGTGACGCTCATCTGCCCCCAGGAGCACAGATTCACCATTCTCAAGGATGTGTCCAAGCCGACCCGTTTTCCACCAAAGCGACGCCACCAACCAAGTAAACCAGTGTTGAGCCAGCTATCAACCCGGTTTCGCAAGCTGGAGAACAGGTCTGGTGGAGTCTAGGGTAGCGACAGGCTCCCCTCGATGCCCGAAATCAGTTGTCGTTGGAGCGCCTATAGCGTGCGGCCCAGCGCAGACCCGCTATCGGAAGAGCAGCACCCCGCCGTGGGGGCGGCATTTGCCCCGCGGTTCAAATGTCAACTGGTTGACATGACGGTTTCCTTGCCAGGAAAGATTTATATTGCCCGTCGTGCGCATGTATGTTGAATTTGAAAATTCCACAGTCAAGCTGGGCTCTGTGTGTATTTGCGAGACGCTCACATTATGGCGGAACGACTGTCACGACCATATGAGACCAAGCTGGCCATCGTCACTGGCGGCTCGCGGGGTTTGTTCTCACCACCTTGTTTACACTTCCGGTCCACGACCACAAAAAACTCTCGTCTATTGACTGACCACCTCCCCCGTAATAGGAATCGGAGAAGCTGTAGCAAGACGACTAGCCGCCAAGGGAGCCAACCTTCTCATCGCATACACCTCCGAGTCCTCCAAGGCGCGCACCGAAACCCTTGTCACGGAGCTCTCGACGTCGCACAAGGTTAGATGTGCCTCGGTCCAAGCCGACCTCTCCAATCCGTCCGTGGCCGCACCGCAAATCATAACCGCCGCGCGAGAGCTCTTTGCAACCTACAGTCGGACGGGCGGGTTCCAGATTGACATGTTGATCAACAACGCCGGCGTGGCATCCAACCAGCACCTCAACGACCCGGCGCTGGGCCCCATCACGACCGACGAGTTCAGCCGCGTGTACACGGTCAACGTCCTTGCGCCTCTGCTCCTCACGCAAGCCGCGGCGCCCTACCTCCCCACCAACCGCTCGGGGCGAATCGTCAACGTCTCGAGCGTCAGCTCGTCCATCGGATACCAGGGCCAGTCGGTGTACGCGGGGAGCAAGGCGGCCGTGGAGGCAATGACACGCACGTGGAGCAGGGAGCTGGCTGAGAAGGCCACGGTAAACGCGGTGAACCCCGGCCCGGCATGGGGGGACATGTACGCGCAGGCGGGTGAGGAGTTTTGGAACATCAACCAGCCTTACGTGGATGCGGCGCCCCTGGCGGCGTATAACGGGGACAAGGCCGTGTTGGACCTGGTTGGCGAGGATGCAGAGAGGTTCGACAAGACGGTGCGGGAGGGCATGGCGGGGAGGAGGCCCGGCCTTACGGGGGAGATTGCTGGGACGATTGACATGTTGTGTTCGGAGGAGGCGGGTTGGACTACCGGAAGTGTGGTTTGTGCGAATGGCGGCATGAAGATGTCCATTGCATGACGGAACGACGGCCTGTTGCCTCCAAGGATTCTTGTCAACACATGTGCTGCGATGTATACTCGGGTCATAGATGTGGGACATTTTCTTTCATTTCTCTTTTTTTGTTCATCACTTTGCTTTCGGGAGTGATTACGAATACGGGACAATCACAGTCCCGATATATCAATGGCTCGGGTCAGCACCTCTGCAAGCAGCGTGCCCTGCTTCCAGATGTCATAGTGGTCACCGCGGCCTTGAAGCAGCTCGACGCTCAGCCGCTCACCCTTGGACTTCAACAGGCTTGCCTGCAGCGCCTCGGCCTGTGAAAACGGAACCAGGGTGTCCTCACGGCTCTGCACAAGCAGCACATGTTTCCCGTCGGGCCACTCCCGCGCCCAATCCTCTATGTAGACGGGGCTGATGGCCCGCCACACGCGCTCGTCGTCGCCAAAGGCGCTCCTCGTAAACTGCTCGTAGATCTCGCGGTACTGGCCGTAGCCGTCCCCCGGATCCGCCACCATCTTGGGCATATCATAGAGCCCATTGAGGCCGAGGACCATCTGCGGCGCCTTGACAGCGGCGCTGCCCGCGTCGACACCCCATCTCGCCGGGTTCACGACGGCCTGAAACGCCAGCGTGGCGCCGCAGCTGTGTCCCGCCAGGATGTAATTGCTCCCAAAGCCGGCGGTGCTCTGGAGGTAGGAAACGGCCGCCAGCACGTCGAGGATGTGCCTCGGGTGGGTGGCATTGCGGCTGGGGTCAGACGGCGTGCTCGGGTGAGTCGAGTGCTGCGGGTAGGCCGACAGAGAGTAGCTGACCGAGGCGAACGCGACGGGTGCCGCGCGGGAGGCGAACAGGGCCGGGGAGAGGCTCTTCAGCGCGGGCGCCAGGTCGTCTGCCGTCTCGAGCGGATCTCGCCAGGCGCCGCCGTGGACGTAGATGATCCAGAGGGTGGTGTCGGGCGGAGGGAGCCATGACGGCGAGGGGGCTCTGGATTCCTCCGGCGCGTACTTGGTCGGGACCCAGACCTGGACGTGTTGGAGGTTGTTGGACGGGCGCGCGTAGGGGACGCGAGACTTGTGAAACATGGGCACTGCGAGGTGATGCTGCCGCTGCCACGTCGTCGACGACCAGCTGCGGTGCATGTCGGCGGCCATTTGATGGCTCTTGTTGCTGAGTGGCTTGGACGTCGGGTTGTCGTAGGACAGGCGTGGCGGAGGTGGCTCGTGCTGGACGCTGGATGGACGGACAGTCTAGGGGCCCGAGGGCCTTGTGTGGAAGAAGACGTATGTACCAGTTGACGTTTCTTAGCTTGACAAAGGGGGGTTTTCTGTTCTAGCAGCCAGGACGACAAGTTTTCGACTTGGGAACGGTGAATGAGAAAAATTCTAAATAGATTATCTGCCAAGAACCCCCCAGCAGTTGGGACAAACTATACCCACATGCCACTATTACAAGAACAGACCAAACACGGCGGGGTTTCGGGAGGCGGGAGGCGGCTTGGAAACGGCACGACATCAATAGCTTCCGTGGGCATTGGGCAGCCGGTATGACTGACAACAGCATTCGGAAGCAGGTAGAAGCCAAGAATGCCTGTTAAGGTGATGCCGCATCTGGACCAAACCTCATCACCTCTTTCTTCCCTCTACTAGTGGAATCGGCCGAGGTCGAGGGCAGAGCCCAGGATGCGGACACGGCACGGCGGTAGCACGGGCGTATGGCAGTACGGGGCTCAATGCTCAAATGTCACTACCTAGTAGGTAGTACAGTGGGAGGCCAAAAGTGTTCGACCCAGATCAGGTACCTTGGCCGTCGCGCTCCATATTACAACATCAATTGATACTGTAGTCTATTGGTGCATACTTCCCGATGGGCGCAAATATATTCTGCCACAGACTATATAGTGGGAGGTGTACGCCAAGCTCCCAGCTGTTCCGTCATTCGTAACGCCCGGTGCCATGTTTGACGATGCGTGAAGCCGACCCGACTCGGCTCGGTGTCGCTTTCCATTACGCCGCATAGTTCTATTGCAATACTACCTCGTTCTACTCGGAGCCTCAACAGCCACGGCCAAAACAGGGAATGGGAACGACGCCCTTAGTGACCTCCCCAGGAGGCTGCGCGACATGGCGAATTTCCGGAAGTGTGAACGGCGCATGGGAAGACAAGCTGTCGACTCGACCGGTCAGTTTTTCAAGATGACGCAAGGCACCGGCAGGAGAATCGCCAGGACCCTCATGGCCCGCCAGCTGGGTAGCCACGAATGTGAGACCCCGTTCGTGATGGGTTGTGCCGATGACGCCAGTACCAGACGGCAAATTGTGCGCGTAGCTGCTGGAAGAAGGTCCGTCGTTGTACTTTGGGACAATGAAGGGGTCCTTGGGTGCTGTTTGGAATCCCATCTTGCCACCCCAAGTCATGCCCTGGATCCCCAAGAGGACACCATTCATGGGCAGATAAAAATCCATGGCGCCATGCGCAATAATGACGTTGTTCGTCTCGTCAATAACATACGGCAGGACATCTCGGCCAGACGGATACGATTCGTCTCTCGCGTTTGCAAAGACCTTGTCCCGACACACCGCCCACTTCACATCCAAAGGCGCGTTGATGGCCTCCTTGACGTCCTCACGGTCGAACCAGGGCCTGTCGCTGCCCTTGATGGGGTCGAACTGGGGCGGACACTTGTTCATGACGTTGTACATGGTGGCACACGGGTTCAACTCCGTTATTTTGTCAAAGACGTTGGCAAACAAATCAACGCAGGCTCGACGAGGATACCAAAACCCTCCGCTGCCTTCCTCATAGCCAGGAGCGTGGGTGGGCGGTGGGCCAGCAGGAGGGTATTGTAGGTACTTCTTCTCGTACGACGTGAAGCCGCAGTCGTGAGCGGTATTGTGCCATGGCTGCCGAGTATCGTCGTCGACGGGCAAAATATCGCGGTTCATGTCTGTGTAACTGCTCACCACCACGTTGGTTTGAATGTGGCGGTCAAACATGATGCCGTCGTAAATCAGTAGGCCCTTGAAGGTGTACCACGGACTCTTGATGAAGTGTTTGGCAATATATGGACCATACATGCCGCCGTAGGCCTCGGTAGCAATGTAAATGTCGTGCTTCCTCATGTCAAACGTCTTGACAAAGTTTTGCCAGAAACCCAGGAACTGGTCTGCAAGCTGGTCTTCATTTTTGGCGGTGGCCTTGCCCCTGGAAAACCCCGTCGTAACAGGCTGCTCGACCCAAACCACGTTGGTCAAGAGATTGAACGCCCAAGGATTCTTCTGCGGCTTTTTCATGCCAGGCTTCCACAGAAACGGACCGTTCTCGTGGGAGAGGCCAAAGAGGGAAGAGCAGCCGGGCTAAGAGCAGATTAGTTGTTAGCTGATGCCACACGAGGCCAGTTGTCATGTTGTGGAAAAAGTTGTGGGCGACTTACACCACCGTTTAGCCAGATGACAATCTCCTTCTTGGCCCTGAATTCCTTCGTGGCGGCAGGGAAGAACCAAAAGTACAAGTTGTTCGTTTCATTCTGCCTGCTGGTTACGGGCATCAAACCGGCGTACGACTCTCCAAGGTCGAAATCGATATCGGGGATCGCCGTCCCATTAACAACATACTCTTTTGATGGTGGAAATTGGCAGTAGTCAGAATAAGTAGTTGAGATAAAGCAGCCGGGGTGTAAACAAAGAACTTACTGGAACTAGCTTCGGTGAGGAATTTCGAAGTAGGACCTACGGGCATGGCAGAACTGCCGCAGAGCCCCATGAGTGACAAAAGCCATTGATGTTTCATGTTGAATCATATACCAGTAGCATATGCAATGACAAAGGCCGACGAACCGAGTGCTCGATCAAACGAAAAGAGGCAGAGTTGTGCTATTTGTACGTACGTTATTGCCCCGATTGCTAGCCGGCTGCTTCTGCCCACACACTTTCACATACCCACATGGCCGCGGCCTATTTCAGGATAACAAGTGAGGATTAACCTACTACCGTGGGTTTTCTTTATAGTCATAACCTAGACGGGGCGGGCTCAGCGCCGCCCAGAGTAGCGTTGTAAAACAAGCGCGAGGTTAAATTCGATGAAGGTTTTTGGGTGTTGCAAAAAGTGGGGTTCTAGAACAGGGGGAGGCAAAGAGAACCCAACTAGATCAGTACTTGGCAATTACGCTTTATGCTTTAATATTATCATATACTTTGAGATATAAGTACTAGAATAGCTTATTATAGCTCTGGGGTATCTAATAATAATATACTTTGAGATATTTCCATAGGTATTTCAATATACTTTTAAAATCTTAGAATATACTCGTATATACTTTTTAACAGGTAAACGTATCCTGCTATAAACTATAATCTAGAAAGCGAGGCAAGGTCTCGGGGCTGCAGGGTGCCCGGGCGGGAGAAGATCAATCTGGGGTTGAGGTGGGCGAGCCTAGCAGGTTCGTTCCCCTTTACCTTATTAGATGATACAGTGGGGGATCATAAATACAACTCGACCAGACCTTTTGAAGTCCAATAACGCCGACGGGTGGCCGAATACTTATTCCAACAAACTGTAGTGGATCCCTCATGCTCAAAAGATAACTAACATTTGATAACCACCCACGCAGCCAAGAACAAGGCCAAGACCGTGCCTTGAAGTTCCTGAATGATTGGCCCTCGGATGCCCCTCTTCCCGCCTCCGTCCGCCCCCTAATCGAAGCTGCCCCGCATCCAGGCCCTCGTTCCAGACCTCCCGTCAGCCAGTGACGCAGCTCACGCCACAGTTTACGCTGCAAACATGTCAAGTGCCACCCACCCACCATCTCTCTTGTCCCCCATTCGACTGCAACAAGCAAAGAAATCGACGTGGCTCGTCCGTGGTACGATACGCAACGACTCCAACTTCAATCTTCTATCCTCCGCGCCCTATACGAAACCATTTCCTTCCTTTACCACAATTCAAACACGACGGCCAACATCCAACAGAGCCCCTCCGTTTCCGATAGCTTCAGCCCCGCCGTCGTCATCCAAACGTCGCCGTCGATTCACACAAGCGCCAGCCATGTCTAGCCCCATCGACATCAGCGCCCTCAGCAAGGACTCCTCTTCAGAGTACGAAGCTAAAATCATATCCATCCTCTCCAATGCCATCAACGAGCTGCCCCCCACGGAGCTCTCGGCCGAGACCACCGCCGGCGAGATCGACAAGCTCTACCCCTCTGACGTTTCCGCGGCCGAAGGCTTCCTCTGGAGCTTCTGGACGCTCCTCGTCGCCGTGGCCAAGAAGATACCCGCCGACGATCCCCGTCAGCAGCTCCTCGTTACGACTGTCGCGAAGCTCAAAAGCAAGCGGGACCAAGAGGTTGAGATGTGGGGACAGAAGACGCGAGTTTGGAGTGAATTGCCCATGCTTGGGCCCGTCATGAGAGACGAGTGGAACTGTGTGCATCACCCTCCTTTGCTCTGAATAAGAAAAAATTGCATCACAATTAACAGTCGGTGGTTGTAGTTTCTCCTGATTTCGACGGCTCGGAAAAGGACAATGCTACCATTCAGGAATGGATCTCGCTCAACTCCTTTGCGGCGAGAATATACGGCGCTTCGCTGCAGCCGTGGGTGAATTTGGGCATTTGGGAGCTGCGCTCTGGCCTCGAGGAAGCACCCGAGGATCGACCAAATGCCAAGGACACGAGGATTGCGACGGCATACGAGTGGATTGTTCACGCCGGCAAGGAGCTGTATGCCAACGGACGGCAGGCCCAGCAGCTGGACGCGATGGAACAGCGGGCCTTGAAGCCTGGATCTTTGCTCAAGATTGAGGCTTCGGGGTTGAGCAATGACCGGTGGAGTTTTTGGCGCGAGAGAATCGGAGTGTTGGGTGCTGGGGCGGGAAGCGGAGTGGCCAAGGAGAAGGCGCAGAAGGCTTTGGAAACGATGAAGGAAATTGAGGGCAGCTAAGAAGGGGGGTTACACACGATTTGCCAAAAGCTTGTGGCTGTGCCACTTATAGACTGCCAATACGGCGCTTCACTAAAGCAAAAAGAACCATAACCTCTCATAAGCGTGGTATCTTGTCCCCCCCTCCTCTGTATATATACTATGACGACGACGTTGATGCTTCTTATTTTATATGAAAGGCAGTAAAACACACTCCATACGCCAATTATCCACATCCACCCCCCGTTCTAAGCGTAAATCATGTCCATGTCGTCGTCCTCGTCGTCCTCTTGCACAACGGCAACTTTCTTCTTGCCCATCTCCTCCCTGCACATGGGACACGTGCCCTTGCTCCTCAGCCACGGCCCGACACACTCCAGGTCAAACCGATGGGCGCCCTTGCACGGCAGCTCCACGACAAGGCAGTACGGGTCGTCCAGGTACGGGATCTTGCAAATGGCACAGTCGTCGTCCCCGCGCAGCTTCTTGCGGTTCACGCGGTCCAGCGAGTCCAGGAACTCCTGGCTGACGCCCCGCAGCCGGTCGGGCGGGTCGAGGATGTCTTGGTCCAGCGCGTCGATCAGTTCCAGGAGGAAGGTGCGGTTCTCGGCGGTCGGGGCCGTGCTCGCCAGGGTCTGCATCTGGTCCTGGAGGAGGCGGAAGACGTTGGCCATGTCGGGCAGCGTGGGCGTTGCGTGAGGGTTGTTGTGCGGGGTGGCGGTGCCCGAGTCGCTGATGCGGTTGAGCAGCGAGAAGAACGAGTCCATGTTTACGCGGCGGGAGCGCGGTTGCGTCTCTGCGAACTGGACATTGTGTTCGACTGTGGGCTGTTAGTCTCGTGGGAGGTGAGGAGGGGAGAGAGAGAAGGGGGGGAGGAGTATTTACCTTCGTATTGTGTTGCCATATTCGCGGCGTGATGGGTGGTTTTTCGGATTTGCAGAGCGAGTGAATGGGCGGCGGTTGGGATGGTGGTTTGGGTTGGGAGAGGGAATTGCCAGATGGTGCTCGTGTTGGGGTCGGGAGTAGGCAGACGACGGGCGTCGCAAGTTCAACGGTGTAACTACAGGAAGGAGCTTTCGAGCAGCTTGACGTCGCCTCTGGTGGGGGCCGCGGCTGCGGGTGCTTTCAGGGTCCCGCACCATGTCAATTCCCTGGTGTCAGAATGGGTCACTTGTTACGGGTACAAATTACGTACGCACAATTAGATAAGGATAAACTCTTAACTATGAGTGGATAACCCTAATAATAAGCGCA